AAGCAGGAAAGCACTCAAACAAGGAACCAGTACCACAAACACGAAAAGGAACCAGTGAAAGGAAACAAGGGGGAAGAGCGAGGATTAAAGGAATCAGAGACAAAGTGAAGGGGGACGGAAGAGAAAGCAAGACAAAGGAGATTTTCAAAGTACAGTTGGGATTTTACTTGAGGAATATCTAAGTGCCTTAGGGCACCCGAAGGAAAAGGCCCCAAAGAACAGCACAGGCACGATTCAAAGAAACCTCATGGAAGCTGGATATCCGGAGTCGGCTGTTGCTTGGAGAAATGTGATCAGGAGCAAGTAGAAATGGGAAGAGGCACGTCCCAGGGATGACGTCCTGTCTCCAGACCGGACTCCAAAAGAATGAGAGCTGCCACTCTCCAGACATGATTTTTTCTCTTTTGTTAAAACTATTTTTTTTTTAAGAATTTCATACATGATACTGTATCTATGTCATTTCTACGCTTCCCTCTCTCTCCCCTTAACCTCCTCCCACGGCCCTCTCAAGTCCTTGACCTTTACTTCTTTAATCATACACATACACACATACCTGTATAAAACCTTTTGAGTGCATTTAGTGTTGCTTATATTTATAAAGCTCAGTCTTTACTTGAGGTTGCCCACTTGGGGTTGGATAACCCAGGGGGTTAGTCCTGGAGAAAATTGAATCTCCTCTCAGAAAACTTTGATTGCCTGTAACCTTTCATTTAGGGGTGGGGGCTTGTGAAATCTCCCCCATCCATGTTGGCATGTTGATTAGTTTTGTCATTATGCAGGTATTCTTTAGGCAACCGTATTCTTTGGATTTAATGGGCTTGGCAACACTTTCGTGTCCAGAAAACACTATCTAGCAGCAGGTGTCCTGGTCCTCTGGCTCATCCTACTCCCTAGTCCATGATGTTTCCTGTCTTTGCATAGGGATTGCATTACAGAAGCACCAACTGAAGCTAAGCACCCTATGGCCGCGTGTTCTTTGTATTTTGGCAGTTGTGGATCTTTATAATGATAATCTCTGCCTGCTACAAAAAGAAACTTCTTTGATGAGGAGTGAGAGCTACACTTACCTGTGAGTATTTGGATAAGCATTCAGGATACAGTTAAAAATCATTTTGGTTTGGGAAAATGGCAATAGTGTGTTCTCCTCTAAGGTCTATGACTTCTCCAGCTACAAGTGTTTAGCTAGGTTAATAGTACCAGGTAGAAATTCCTTCCTCCTAAGTGGGTCTTAAATCTAATTAGACACCTTAGGCGTAAGATGCACCACTAGGGATATCTTGCTGAGCTGATCATTGTCATAGTTCATAGGCCTTACAGCTGAGTAGAACTATTGGTTGTCTTTCTCCTTTGGCAATTTGCATAGCACCTTCCAATTCCATAAGAGCTAATCCTCGAGTACTCCCAATTGTCTGTTATTGTTTAGGGGGCTTGTAGGACTACCCTGACCGACAGCCAGTGGGAGGTGTTGCATGCCTGGCATAGGTTTTTGTTAGTCTATGGCTCTTGGGGGAACTCCTTTTGGCATAAGTCCTTTTAAATATATATATGCACACATATATACAGATATATTATATACCCACATATATGCATGTTTAAGTAAGTTTATAATATATTCCTCATTCCTGTTCTATTCACAATAGCTAAGAAATGGAAACAACCTAGATGTCCTTCAACTAATGAATAGATAATAAAAATATGGTACATACACACAATTGAATTCTATTCAACTGTAAAGAAAAATTAAATGAGAAAATCTGCAGGTAAATGGATAGAACTGAAAAACATTATACTGAGATAACTCACACCCCAAAAGACAAAAACTGCATGTTCTCTCTTTGTGGGTCCTAGCTCCAAATTTTTAGATGAGATTATAGAATCAAAAGTAACTGGAATCCAGGAGAGCAGAAACGTACCACAGAAGGAGGAGGGCGAAGGAGCTCTAGAGATGGAAAAAGTAAGACACAGGTGCTATGACGCGGAGGGAAAGACTCTGGGGCAGGTAACTGAGGAGAGAGATAAAGGAAAGATAAATAACATCAAGTCTATTTCAAAATGCCATAGAGGGAAGGGTTTTATAAGCCTCCAGACACTGTCTTTCTAACTTGGCACATGGCAGTAACTAATTCCACTCAAATATAACTACTCTCCTGCTTCCTTCCTCACCTTTCAGTTACCGCCTGCTGTTAACTTAGCACATCTCTTTTTCCCACTAGGTGAGCTCTTTGAAGCATGAGGTTGGACTCTGCTCTTTCTTGTATCCAGTTCATAATAGGTAGTTAATAAATATCAAATTATAGAATTCTTGGCTTAGACACTACCTGAACCAGGATGAGTGATAGAGTAGGAATTTAAGGAGAATACTAAATTTCTGGGGTCCTAATGTAGAATTATCCAGATTTGAGAGTCTATTTGAAAGACCAAACAGTTTGAGGGCCAAGAAAAGCCTCCATCGCAGCTAGGCAAACCCAGATCAATACCATCTACAGAAAACACATATTCTTTTGAAGTCAGTTCCCACGGCATCCTACACAGTGATGAGACTCACTGTGATAAAAATGATTGCAACTAGAACGTCTATGGGTAATTTACTATGGGGCATGATGTGGGAGGGGTAAAAAGGAAGCAGGGATACTTAATTCATCCAGAGCAGAGCAACCAGGGCAGAAACTCAAGAAAGAACTCATAGCCCTTACATAGGAACCTTAAAGGTTGGATGTTTGTTAGTTAAACTCAAAACACTTCTGTGATAGAAGTCTCTGTACCAAGAATTCACATGCTTTAGGTCTTGATTAGGGAAAAGGGAGAACAGGTATATTGGAATCAGAGTCAAGCTGCATTCCCACTAAGGTTCAGAGCATGTGAAGCACTCGGAGGGGCAATCAGAGTCATTTCTAGGGTCGAGAGAGTGATGATGGAAAGAAAAGGAGAGAAGGAAGTACAGCAGACGTGGTCTAATCTCTGAAGCCCTGTAACTCAAACGCTCTCTCTCGAGGATCCCATCTTAGTAGGATGACATGGGCTTCAAACCATTCTCTTATTTGCTGTTGTCACAAGTACATTTCTCTCCCTTCACCTCAACTATACCTCAAAATGTTCCCAGAAGAAGCCGATGAGTTCCAATATTCCAACCCTGAGGGATTTAGGATGCTAAGGCAGTGCTCCTTACTCCTCACCCCAACCCCCACCCATGCGTGCTTTGTCCTCCATCTGGTTTTGTGTCTTTGAGACTTGTTCCTACAATCAAATGTGGTCTTTTTCTCACTTAATCGACTGTTTCCTAAATACAGTGTGTTTGCAGTCATTAGGGGTACAGAGACAGGCAAGACCCAGCCCCTACTGACAAATTCAGATGCACCTTTTAATTAGCTGTGCACGTCAACAGTGTTCTGAGACATAAACACTCAGGTGAGGGACACTATTTAGATGAGAGGGTTCCCCCTTTAAGACAGCAACCACAAACTTATGTCAATTTTCATAAAAGAGAAATGAAAAATATTCACTTTGTAAAGGCTTTCCACAGGGCTGCCCTTTTGTATTTAAGAGACTACCCGCTCAGCCACCCTCTCAGCCTGTTGTATAAAGGTGAGGTCCACCCACGCATTTCTCTGCACACATTATGAGAGTGTTCACAAATGCCTTCGTTGAGGGTGGTGTGAACAAGGAAGAATATCAGATCCACAAACAGAAGTGGGCTGGGCTTTATTTCCTACTTTGTTTCCCTGGAATGCAAATTCTGTTCTTAAAGCCAGATAAACTGTTTCCTTCAACAAACACTAGCAAGAGTTTGTGCTGTGTGTTGGGGGCAGCATCAGGCTGCAGGAATGCAGAAGTGATAAAGATGTGGACTCTGTCATTCAGAAACAGTTTAACAGAGGAGATAAGGTATGTATCTAGGTCACCGTGACCCAGAGAAGCTATAGATCTGTGAGACAATCTACAGTCCAGAGGATGTAGAGCTCTGACCTGGCGACAAAGCAAAGCAGGTTCCATGGGGGCCCTGGCGCTGAACTGAATGTTTAGTCTTGAGTGATGGCTCTTCCTCAGCGTTTGAGAGGAGGTACTGAAGTTGAGCTTCTCTCTTCAACCCTAGAACTTAACAGCAGTCCCTTTCCACTTCCCCATCTCTTCCTATGTCATAAGATTTGTGCGGTTAACTCACTTCCACCCAGGCCATTCCAAAGGTCCCAGCCTTCTAATCACTTGCTCACATGGAAATCCCTTTGAAATACATCCCAGGTGTGTAGGGATGAGGAATCTTGCCCTGGGAATTACGAAACACCCAAATAGATCATCCACTCCATGGCTGCCTTCCAACAATAAGTACCCTGGAGGCTTCAGTTGGAGAATGTATAAAAAAGCCTCTTCCTCCCTGGCAGCACAAGGCCTTCAGACTCCTTCTGGGATGGACTGCCTACTTGGATTCCTCAAGGGTAAAGCTACTTCTTGGGGGAGAGACACTTGGATACCACTCAGGTTCTGCTAAGGACTCTGTCTCTTTCTTTCTCTTTCGGGGAGTTGATAAGCCAAGTGGGAAAAGTTTGTAGCAGGGAGAAGGGAAGGGGCTGGAAATCCCTGCCACAGACCCCAAATGCTCTAACATGAGAGGACAACCATAAAGGCCAGAGGGCAGGGGACTCAGAGGAGAGGTGTACAGGCTTAGAAAACTCAAGTAGAAGAAGCCTAAATAAGGAAAGAGCAGACACTACGCCGGCAGCCGCCTGGAAAACGTGGACTGTCAATAGGTTACTGTTTATTTTTCCTTTTAGAAAGATTGTTATTAGATTGTTAGTAAATTCCTTGGAATTCTCGAAGACCTACCCCACCCCCACGACCCCTGTGTCCAGCTCTTTCCAGTCCACTGTTCTTCCTCCTGGAAGGGCCTTCTGTGTGACTTTCATGCTGACAATGTCAGTTCTCCAGTAGACTGGCAGACACTCAAGCTGCTGTGTCCCTGATGTAACATCTTCTTTCTCTTCCAGATTTGACATATTAGCTGAGCAATGTCACAGCAGAAGGAACAATCTTGGGAACCTTCAAATGCTCCCAAATGCTCCCCTCCCCAGTGCCCAGGCCCCTGTCTGCGTACCTGCTCGGCTTCTTGTTCAGCAGAGTGCTGTTTCCCCTCCCTAAGGTCAGAGGCTCAGAGCACAGCCTGCCCCAGGAGGGTTCGCCGCCGACGCCGCCAGCCCCGCTGCCTCAGTGGTGGCACCACCTACCACTGCAAAGAGGAGGAGTGCTAGGGGCTAAGTACCAAGGAGCGGGCACAGCTGCAGGGGCCTTCTCCCCACCCTTCCTCACAAATCTCACCACGAGGCCCAGACCCACTTATATCGGCTGAAAACACTTGCTTCTCTCCTCCACCCGCCCCTTTAGCTCAACAACAAAATTCTGCCCCTGGAGTATGGCTGTGACTTCTGTGAGTCCTTGAGACCCTGATCAGAGACACAGAGGCCCTCGGGTGGGTGTCGCTCCTCCCGGGGACAGGTGCTCCAGAATTTATGCTCCAGCTCTCAGCAGCCTCATGACCACTGGCTCATTTCTTTGCAGGGTTCTAGCATGAGGCTGCAGAACAATAAATTTATGTTGATCACCTACTGTGTACCAGTCTCTGTGTTTAAGGACAAGTGGGAGATTTGACCTTGTTCTGGGATATGTTATAATCCAGGGGAAGGAGAAAGGCATACTCCAGATTAAATCACATGGATTAATAAATAAAATTAAGGCTGACTAAATTAATTGTTTTTACATCTTAATTGTGTTAAAAGAACTTAAGGGGGGGGGAGGCAAGGGCATTCTGATGTTTCCATAGTAAGAATCAAAGGTGTTGGAAGAAGAGATCAGAAATAGGAAGAGCCTACTTGGGGATGAGGGGAGCCATCTTCCTGGACTAGGAAGCATTTAAATAGGGCCTTTAAAGGTAGGCAAAATTTGGTCCTGTGGTGTGGAGTGGAAAAGGAAGCCTCTCTCAGCAAGAATAGCCAACACACAGCAAGTGGGGCACTTGTCAATAGCGCTGACCTCAGTCTGGCTGGAGCTCCACTGAGGATGACGTCTGTAGACAGTTCATGAAGGTACTACCTAGGGTAAGTCAACCAGCTGAGTTTACTAGGCTTAAGCTATAAAATCCCAGGGACTGAAGGATTGTTCCTCTGGGGTGATCTGGGTTTTAGGGGCGCCTGATACAGAGAAAGCTTGCATTTCAACCAGGTTTCATATCAATATAAATTCTTTGCAAAGATTTTACATTGATGTGTATTTCCCAAGTATCTAACCCAACAGTTTTTATTGACTAAAAGAATTATTAAAATTCTTTTCAAAAAAGAATTTTAGCATATCATTTCCAATCTGTAAGGTGCCCATTTCTACAGTTTAGTCATCCTAATGATTCGGTGACCTGACTTTACCTCTGTTGCGACCTTGTGTACACAGGTCATACTTGTATATAATTATATATGTGTAATTGTTCTTATTAAAGAGATGATGCAAATCTCTTCACAGACAGATTTGTTAACGCAGGAAGGCAGGAAGGAGCTCAGCGGTAGAGCATTTGCACGGTGTGTGTGAAGCCCTGGGCTAAATCTACAGCACAGCAAAAAATAAATACACAAATAAAAGAAGAAAAACAGCATAAAGAAGATTGAGAAGAACCTAAGATCCTTATCACCCCAAAATAATCACAGCTAATAAAATCATACCTATACATTCTAACTTTAAAAAATCACAAATGAGATCATTTTATAGTATTTTATAGTGTACGTTTTAAAACTGAGGAGGAGCTAGAGAGATGGCTCAGTGTTTGAGAGTGCATAGTACTCTTGCAGAGGACCTGGGTTTAGCTCCCATCATGTGGCATACACACACATACACACACACACACACACATACACACACACACAAATAAAATTAAATAAAACTAAGTAAAGCTTAACAGTAAGTGAATATCCGTCCGTACTCTTCATACTGGTAAGTGCTGATCAGCACTTGTTACATGGTCCTAACACACCATGACTGGTATAACTAGATCCCTACTATTGAGCATTTGTGCTATTTCTACACGTCTGATGTCAAAACAAAGCATTATGATGTCAAAAATAAGCATTCTCACTGGTGATCATTCAGTTTTATTAGGATACATTTTTTACAATTAGAATTCTAAGATTGTCAAAAACTATGAAAACGATTAAGTTATACTTTGAGAGCAGTTAAAATGATTTCATTTAAGAAAATCATTTTTTTTTAGGGAGATTCCTTTTGTCAAGAGCAAAAGTAAATCCATGTTAAAGGATTGTCGCAGCTCATGGTAGGAAAAGTTTGCTGTGTGAGAAAACAACTCCCAGAAGACTTGGCAAGTAAACATTTTACTGTCATAAAATTTATTTGCTAGCCTATTGGCCCCTCTGTTACAGGCCAAGTCCATTTATACTCTTTTTATATTGTATATGTATATACTTTAAGAAGCTTAGAAATATAGTAAGAAATATAGAAAGGTACATAGATAAATGGACATGATAGATTTCAGTTGTTCTCACCATAAAGGAATGTTAAATATGTGAGGCAATGCATGTTAATTTAACCGTTACACACTGTAAATATGTTTCAAAATAATCATAGCAGGAAATGCGGTAGTAGTTTCCCATACGACATTTTCTAACTGCCTTTAGTGTTAGTTAGCCCTACCCACACTTCCTCCTCCACTCTGACCTCCACCTCCCTACCCCATTAGCCCTTAATATTCCATTGTTCCCCTTCCCCCTTTATACCACTGCATCTATCCCCTCTCCCCCAAAACCCTCCCACCTCCCACAACCCCCCTCTCCAGAGCCTCTTTCTAGTTTCCTGACCTCTATGGATTTTCCAGCTGAAACACACATACCTAAAGACTCAAAATTAGCATCCACTCAATGTTCTTAAAAATTAGAGGCTTCCTCCTTTTAAAAAAATATTTTATTATTTTTATTTTATGTGTATGAATGTTATGCCTGCATGTAGATAAGTGCACCCGTGTCGTGCAATGCCTGCAGAGGACAGAAGAGACTGTCGGATCCCCTGGAACTGGAGTTACAGACAGTTGTTAGCTGCCAGGTGGGTGCTGGGATTCAAACCTGGGTCTTCTGCAAGAACAGTCAGTGCTCTTAACCTCTAAAGCCATCTCTCCAGCCCCTGGCTTCTTCCTTTTGACTGAGGAAGTGCAGGTCATCTTGCATAAAGTGGTGCCTTAGGAATATTGATATGTCCGCATATGAATGTCTCTGTTTAGCTGACAGACTTCTAAATATTGATTTTAAATAGTGAACACATTTGTAAAACTTTCTAGAAAGAATCCCCAAAGGGAAAATATGTGCTTAATTATATCCATTCCAATGTGTAAAAACAATTTTCTACATTTTATTTCTGATCTTTATTGAAGACAGACATTTACCAAACAATAACAAAACAAAGTTTGGCAGAAGCAATTTTTAACCAAGAATGCTGTTAGGTTTCCCGAGTCAGTTCTTAGATTCCTTGTCTGGTTGTTCAGCTTATGTGTATTACTGTCTACACACACTGCTTTGACTGCATCGAATTCATGTCAGAATTCTAAAGTGAAAGCAAAGCAGTGATTTCATGATTATTTTTCTTCATAATGATTATAACATCTTCACATTGTTCTAGAATATGTGTGTTCATAAGAAATGTCTGTACTGTGAGTGTTTTTATTTTGGTTTCAGAATGATGTCATTTCAATGTTATACACACATTGTAACTTTGTTTTATACTAATAGGTGGAAAGCACAGATTTCATATTTTGTTCAAAAGGCTGTAAATACAGACAAGACAACAGACAGATGATAGACTTGAAGTGTTCTCACCATAAGGGAAACTTAAATATGTGAGGCAATGCATATTTGTTTAATCCACACTGAACATATAAATTCATATAATGCTTATTTGCTGGTTAAAATAGTTAAATGTCACATATACAAAATTTTAGCGTTTCATAGGAACAACAGAACTATGTAAATGGTGACAGTTTTTCACTTTTTTAGAACATATCCAACTTTATGCTTTTAACAGAAGTTAAAAAGGTACATATCTCTGAACATTTCCTGATTCAGAAGGAGCTCCATTTTGAAAAAATTCATTATGTGATATTTAATATGTAATATTTAGAACTTTTGAATTCCTTATTGTTCAGAGTAAAATGAACATTAAGTTTAAGAAAAAGCTGCTAGATGTAGAAGAGTGCTCCCGAAGGACTTCTAAAGCCCTCAGGTGAAGGTCCCCAGCTGTGTCTCATCTGTGTGGAAGCCTCTGCTCAGCTTTCCAGCAAGCAAGGTCTTGAATGGGAAGTGAGCTTCAGCCCAGCCCCCTTGCCTTTTATTTACATGTATGATCCTAGGCCAGTTTTCTGTCAGATGAAGTTTATTTCAGTCCCAGATACCTGTGAGGCCTAATAGAAATTTCTGTACCTCTGTATGCCTCAGTTTCTTCATCTGAAAAATAGGCAAACTAACAGTACCTGCTTTGGAAGACTGTGGAGGCATCGATACATGGCAAACTCAGTGAGGTTAGTTATAATTTACATTGTGGTCTACTTCATTTTTATAGCAGTCTTTTTATTTTAGAATAAAGATGGTTGGGAATAATAATAATAATAATAATAACAAGAACAGCAAAGTACCCAGAACTTTTCTAAGCACTATGCACATTGCTGGCTTAATTCTCACAGGTACCCTATGAAGCAGATATAATTGTCATAAATGGGCAGAAAAGTCTGAAATTTAGTTTTAAAATGCCTAGATATGACTTCATCCCTTTTTCCATTAAATGATGGGATATATACGACCATTTTGCTGTGTTCCTGGATCCCATTCAAGATATTACATTTGATGGCCACGTTTCTTAGGCTTCTCTTGATTGCAGCCACTTTTCAAGTTTTCCTTATTTGGGATGACTTGATTATTTTCACGAGTACTGGCTGGGTATTTGCTATACTTTCTCTTAATTGGGGTCTGTCTAGTTGGGAGCCAATGGGAAGAAGATCACAGAGGTAGGTACTTTCTTAACACATCATCTCCAAGTTATTGCTCACAACATGGTGTTACCACTGACCTCGGCCAAAGGCTGAAAACGTTTTTCAGATGGCTCCACTATAAACTCACAGCTTTTCTTTCTCACACCATACACCTGTTTTGGAAGGAAGTCTCTATATGCAGCCCATTCACAGTGCAGAAGGGTACACTACCTACATGGTGGCTTCTCTGTGCTGTTTGTCTACCCTCTCCCATTTTAACCTATTCAATACTTGTTTATGTCAGAATAGAATCATGGGTCTTAGGAATCTATGTTACACTTTCATCATAGCCCAATCTACGTTCTTTGCATTATGGTGCTTGGTGATCTGGCTGGAAGCATTTGTTTTACTTGGCTCCCATGTCCCTTTCCTATAACATCATTAGTTTCTTTTCCAGCACATCCTGACTTTCTGGCACAACACTCCAGGTTCATGTGTATAGTCTCTGCTTTAGCATCTGATTCAGCCATTTCTCTAGCGAGCCCTGGGTTTTTATTTTTAATTGAAAAATCAATATTTACATGTTCTCTTGGTGTAAATGGGTATTTTTAAATCTTTAGAGGGAAAAGATAGAGCCTCATTATTAAGAGATGTAGAACTAGCCAAATAATAACATTAATAATAAGCGAGGTGTGGCGGTACGTATCTGTAATTCTGGTACTCAGAAGGTTGAGACAGGAGGATTATAAATTCAAGGTCAGTCTCAGTGACATAGTAAGTGAAAGTCAGCAATAATAATAATTAATAATAATAATAACAATAAACAGCAGCAAGAAAAGTAGTATACCAAGAACTGTACACATGTTGCTGTCTTAATTCCCATGGGAACTCTATGAAGCAGATGTAATTGTCATCACTGTTTTACAGACAAGCAACCAAGGCAAAGACGTCACATGACAAACAATGGTCTACAACTAAGAAGGGACGGAGCCTGGATTTGAAGGTAGCTCATCTGATCGCACACACTAGACACCCAGCCACTATGCTGTATCTCAAGCGCACAATACTGGCATGCAGTTGTTCTGTCTTCCCTCTTCTTCTCTGCCTGTCCAAAGCATGGACGCTGGGCTGAAACTCAGTTGACCGTAGGGTTAGTGCTGATTCTGCTCATATTTTAACCTTCTGTGTTAAGATGACTTCTGTGAACCTTTATCTTTCATTTGTGACATAAAGCCATACAGCCAGGCCAAATCAGGTATTTTATTTGTGATTAGCTCAGTTAACAAATCTTTGATAAGAACTAACTATATGTAAAGAACTGAAGTTTGGGGGAATTATTTTCATTCTTTTTTAGTGTCTGATCTTATGCACTTATTGGGAAAAAATTCTAACAAAGATAAAAAAGAAATTGGCTTCCTTATACTATAAGGAGTTCTCCAATTAAAAGCATTTCCATTGTGTTAAGCAGCTGCACATCTAGGCATATGCACTTGGTCAGACAAGCACACTTCGTGTTTGCTGAGGCTTCTCCGAGGCTAAGTGGCCATGTGAGCAGCCAGAGCTTTGTCCGTCCTTTAGCTGTCCGTGAAGATCTGCAGAGGAACTCAGAAGGTAATAGGAGACCATGGAAATGCTATCAGAATGTTCCAAGGGCTGGCCACACTTCTGCCTTCTCCATAACACCCTAGGATGCTCCAATGAGACAGAAACTATTTGAAGAATGCAGATGCTTAGGATTTACTCCAAGGAGATTATAATTCAGTAGGTCTTAGTAAGGGATGAGAGATGCACATTTTAAAACTACTTCCCCTATGGCTCATTTGCTCAGCCAGATTTGGGATCCGTGATCTGTAACTGAGCCAGGAGCGAGGCTGAAAGGGCAGCTTCTTTGCTTCATGCAATGCCTTGCTGGTTGGCCCTCCTGTCCTGGAGTTTGTGTTACTGAAAAATCAGAGACAAACAGTCAAAGTCAGGAGAGGAGAGGGGGTTTAATTTCAGACTAGCGGATTGACCCATGGATCCTTCCATAAAGGAGTCAGACCTCTTGTTCAAATTTTGAGGGGTTTTTATACTCATATGTGAGGAATGCAAGCCAAAGGGTACATAACATACACGTGATAAGTAAGTAACGTAGCACAGGGCCACAAAGGCTATAGGAACTCTATCCTAAGGCCTGGGAAGATTCCTACTCATTCCCCCCATTTCTATCTCTGGGCTTTTCCTGCTCCAAAGTTCTTAATTACCATCACATTGCAAAAACTGTTAGCATTTGATGTGCTCTTCTATTTCCATTATACTAGAAACAGTGATATGTGCTTAATTTTAAACTTTGAAATATTCAATTTTTCCACAGACAATATACCCAACTCAGCATTATTAAGAGAAGAAAAGAAAATGAGTGGAAAATATGCTTTGGTATAGCTGTATGAGGACATGAGAGGCTCCCTTTGGATGACCACCATGTAGGAGAATATAGACTCCAAGCGACAGAACAGAGAGTACTAATGTCACAGAGTAAGGGTATGGACTCCAAATTTCTGAACAACATGCCTGTGGCTTTCTAATGCCTCCCCTTTGCTCTCAAGAACGTAGAGTACTGGCTCTGCTCGCTTTTGAGGTGAGGGATAGTAGAAAAATGAGTCACCTTATCTTTCTCTTAAGACATGCTAATTATAGGATACAAGAGTTTGTGAAGCTGGATCATCTCCTTTAGGTCTAATAGAGAGAAAAATGATGAGTCATGATCAAGGGGTTATGATGAGCCAGGGATGTTGTCAGTGTAGCAAATCTCCAAGGACTTGAGGAGATGGTTCTAGGTAGATCGCTGGTCACCTGTGCGGGAGGAGGAACCCACCTTTAACATCAGCAGAAAAGGTAAAGTTACATGGGGATAAGAAAGCTCTGTCATTCTAGACTGTAGAGTCTTCTTTATAGAAAGATTTGGAAATATTTTCTTGGGATCTTTGCCTAGAGGAAAAATATAGGCAAAATGAAGTCTCCTCATCCCTTCCAATCTTAGAACTAACAAGCTCTATATGGTGGTGACATCTGTAAACACATGCTCCTAATAGTTTGTTTTAGCTATTACCCACTCACTGAGGTCAATCCAAGGCCAGAGTGAAACTCAGGATCTAAAGAGGGGATCGTGATACTTTCTACAGAACAGAAGGGATAGCACAGCCGTTTCCACAGAGGTGATAGATCAGGGGCCACAAAGGTTCTCTCATGACCCAGGGCAGCTCCAAGCGCAGAACTACCATAATTAACTCAGAGATCAAAATACATCAGCAACACTCATTTTATGAGTGAAGGCACTGAAGCCCCAAGTGGCACACGGCTTCAGGCTCAGGACGAGGCTTATGCTCCAGGGCTGACTTCTGCTCCTTTCCAAGTGGGATTTGCTGCAGTCAGAGAGAGAAAGAGAACCATGGTACTACTGTGGAACACCCACTCTTATGGAACTCAGAAACTAGAGAATACCTTGGGCTGTAATGAACACAAATGCTTATAATTGTCATAGAGGCAAGTAGCACACGGCTTCAGGCTCAGGACGAGGCTTATGCTCCAGGGCTGACTTCTGCTCCTTTCCAAGTGGGATTTGCTGCAGTCAGAGAGAGAAAGAGAACCATGGTACTACTGTGGAACACCCACTCTTATGGAACTCAGAAACTAGAGAATACCTTGGGCTGTAATGAACACAAATGCTTATAATTGTCATTACCATTTACAGAATGCCCACTGAATGCTGTACATTGTATGTTTGTTTGTTTGTTTGTTTGAACTCACATTATGACTTTAGCTACTATATTAGACATGATGGACCTATGTCTCTAGCCCATGTTATACAAAGTAATGTGACTGAATTTTAAGACCGCTTTACAATAGTGATAGGAATTTGTTATGCTGGATAAACCTGGTCCTTTTTTCTATGCACTATGGGTCCCATGGGTCCAGGACATTCAATACATGTTATAACTCTTCCCTGTGCCAAAGTGAAGCAAAGACATCTCTGGTTCCTCAATGTCCCTGATACAAATGTCACTGCCCTTGGGAGAACCATGAATCCTCCTCCAGTGCTGTTTGCCAGAGTAAGCTGCAGGTGCCTCCTGCTCTTCTGGCCTGTAGAAGTACTGTTCAGAGGCCTATCAACTGCTCAAGCAAAAGGGTGATCCTTCTTTTCCATTCTTTCATCACTTAGGGATTAGTTTGATAAGAATCTCATGCATGCAGATGCTGGTCTGGCTGGTACCTCACCCTTCCATTAAGGGGAACACCCAAGCCTGATAGGAATCTATAACATTCCTGAATCCTCAGGCAGGCAGGATGGTAAAGAAGTACATGGAGAGATGAGAAATGAGATCAAAGTCCAGGAATGTGCCCACTGTGACCCAACAGGGCTTGGCCAAGCAAAGACTCTCCAATTATTTTCCAACCAGTCCCTTTCCCTTACCCACTCCCTGGCAAAGAGTTCTCCCCAAGTTCAGCTATGACCCTCATATCAAACATACAGACTGACCATTCACCACATACCTGAGCTCGAAATATGCAAATCAAGACCCCAGTAACTCCAAAATGTAAGTTTGATCAGACCGCTCCATTGCTTAAATGGTCACAGATGGATGGTCATCTCTGGCCCTGTTTTCTATGCAGCCGATCTTTTTCTCAAAACAAATATGTATACCTCTAATGTATAAGTCTGTGAAGGCATAATTGCTCTGAATTCAGGAAGATTTGTGTACAAGCCCCAGATGATTGCCTTCTGGGGCTCTCCCTGGCAGGCAATGCAAACATCTGAAGATTTAGAATTAGTCAGAGACTGGCGAGATAACTTAACAGTCAAGAGAACTCCCTACTCTTCCAGAGGACCCAGGTTCAGTTCCCAGCATCCACATAGCCCCTAACACCTGTTCTTAACTCCAGTTCCAAGGGATATAATGCCTTCTTCTGTCTGTGGGCACCAAGCACACACATGGTGCACATACACACATGCAAGCAAAACACCTATATACACAAAATAAAAATTAAAAAATTCTTTAAAGAAATATTGTAAAAAGTAAGATATCAGGAGTGATACAAACTTTTAATGCCAGCTCCTGGGAGACAGAGGCAAACTCATCTTTGTGGGTTCAATGCCCAATCTGGTCTACACAGCAAGTTCTAGATCAGTCAGGGCTACATAGTGAGACTTTGTAGTTTTGTTTTGTTTTTTTTTTTAAAAAAAAAAAAAAAAAAACTTGAATTACTGGTGCTCTCATGTAACTATGAAGCTATAAGGAAAATAGAAGTTTTTTTTAACCTACTACCTGTCAAATTTGTTTCCATTATCACAGTACAATAGATGTATAATTTCCTATTGTTAATCTGATTTTAGAGATCAATTTTTTTAAAGTTTCAAAAACCATTAAGTAATACACTGTGGCTCAACACCAATGGTCCGATTCCAAGGTTCATACACTTACAGCTTCTTTACCAGATAAAGATGTGAAATGTGGAAGGGGGCTGGGCGTGCCTAAAGACAGCGACACCTGCTGTATGGAGGACTGGCTGTCCAAAGAGGTGACAGCCTTGGCAATGGGTTTCCAAGGAATATAAGTAGGAAGTTATGAATCCACAGGATAAAATCACACAACACAGCATGTGAAGTTCTTCTCTTCTGCACGGCCACCATCTCACCTTGTGTTACTTTGTTCCCAGTAGCCACTCTGTTTTCAGAACAGACCAAGCTCATTCCCATCTCTGTGCCTGTGGATGTTTTCTTAGTCTAGTAAACCAATTGCTCCCTCAGCTCCTGACCAACCCCCAGCCATTTTGCTAAGGTCACCTCTTCTGGAAGCAGCATCAGCAGTGGGAGTTGCTGTCCATGGGTGCACCCACTGCCCCTCCACGCTATTTCCATCTCTTTATGTCTGGACTGCATGAACTTCACATCTGTACATAATACAGAAGCTAGAAGAACATGTATCTTACAATCAATGCACAAGCATTTGAAACATAAGTATATGATTTGATGATATAAGAGTCAGATAGTTTTATCTATATAATGTGATTGACAATAAGAAACTCATAAAACATGCATTATTGTGAAAATGCAAATGGCATCTTTGATGGAATGAGAGTTGAGAATAACTTCAGTTCCTTTTCCTGTCCTCATGTCATGTCATTTCTACCCCCTTTAAAAAATGATATTAATCTTCTGAGAATTCACAAAACCCTGCACATACAAAAACACTTAATTAATAAGCAAACCAATAAGCTTAAAGTGATGCTTGAAAAGTTGTTATAAGAAAGTTTGGGGAAGGGGGGGCTAGAGAGATGGCTCAGTGGTTAAGAGCACTGGCTGCACTTGCAGAGGCCCCAGATCCAATTCCCAGCACCTGTAACTCTAGTTCCAGGAGAATCTGATGCCCTCTTCTGACCTCCATGGGCATTGCAGTTAAGCGCACTCCCTGCTTTTCCAGAGGACCCAGGTTGGGTTCCCAGCACTAACATAGCCCCTAACATCTGTTCCAAGCTCTTAACTCCAGTTCCAAGTGATCCAGTGCCCTATTCTGGCTCTGTGGGCAACAGATATGCACATGGTGCACTTACACACATGCAGGCAATGCACTTAT